CAACCTGTATAGGGGTATCGGACGATTTTCAGGTTGCAAAGTTCTTATATTTACATGTACGACTATACATGAATAGTATCCAATGTTAGCAACACCACAAACAACGATGTTGCCATCTAAATTGTAGCTTGCCTGCTGTTCTCTCAAAAAATCATTTCTTTTTCCCTTGTTCCTTCACTCTGCCACTGAATGCGACGATGGTTGAGGTCGCCGCGACCAATAGCTACAACTATGGTCCATCTCACGAGTCGTTATACAGTCCACTCTCGTTCATTGGTCGAGTTAGAGACAAAGAGGGCAGCGCAATCTGTGTTACTCTAATCATCAACCTTTTCTATTCAGGCATAGTCAAAATTTGACGTCCAAACAGTGCGCTTGCGTTTACCACATATTGTATATTGTACGTCTATGTATAGCCAGAACTGATTGATAACTGCGAAAATCGACCCCCGTAGGGAGCTGTGTCTTCGTCCACCACTCAGCACGCGGCTGCACACTACGCATAACCCCAGCGATTCTTCCCCCTTTTTCCTTACATACATACATTCATATATACAGACACACTACTACAATATATATACAGAAGGCAGAGACATCTACAACCGCATTGAATAGCCTTTGGTGATCGTGTAGTAACTCAGCTTGCCGATCGCATTGATTTGCCGGCGTCTTTTGACTGCTGTGGTCGCTTTGCAAATGAATTTTTTTGCAAAATGAGACGAAACACCCAAGTCGCGCCGGGATCATCCGTAGTCTTGACGTCGTTGACAATTTTCAAGGGTCATATGAAAGCGCGAAACGCATAAGCTCGGACTAGAAATGCTCAACGTTGAATAACTATTGATTGGCTAAATTTTCCGCGATGATCACATGAAAAAATCTAAGTCACCCATAATCATATTTACTATAGGCCACTAACGCTGACATCAGCTTCAAAGATAACGTTGCCTGATGTCCTTTTCTAGGTGAATCGAACGGACAATACCTGTCTGGTAATAAGATTATTGGGATGCTGTGGCGAGACATTGTATCATGTAACGAAGTCTCTGAAGTAAGAAAATCTCTGAATGTTCACCCTCTGATCTGTTATGATTTGAGAGATTATTATGTCCTGTTGTCATCGTCGTTTTCGTAACCATAGGAGAAGTGTTTTCGTTCGACTAACATGTCATTAGGTAGGACCAGCCTTCATTTCTCAGGTGGCAGGCTAGTATTGGACCTACACTATCAGTGGACACTTCCGATGGCTAGGCGAAAATTCCCATAAAGCATCTATTGTGATCACACTCGTTCGAATGTTAGAAAGAGCAGATTTCGTGGTCGACAACAATCGCCGACAACTGAAGACAGACCGCAGTAATACTGTTGGTCGTTTGCTGTCATTTTGTTAGTTTGTAATGCTCGTTCATTATATGTTTGGCCCTTTTCTTTTTTTTAGTTTTTTTTTTGTTGACTGCTGATTGAATTGTCCGATGTCGTGCCCGATGACGGTCTGCTGTTGTTTTGAATTACTGCATGAATTATAGTGGCGTTAGAGGAGACTTATCGAGGTCTTTCAGACAACGGCATCCTTTGTTTCCCAACAATTGGAAATTGTTACTATCAAAGCCGAAGATAGGGCGATTGTAGAGCTGATTTGGTCTGGTTCGTTTGACATAGGGTAAGTTAGATATAGCATCACCTTTATGGCAGAACATGATGTCGTCGATATATGGCTGGTTATTTCAATACCGTCCATGGAGAACGAACAACGATCAGCCATGATTGTAACGAGGTAGAAAAAATACGCGTTTTAAGAACGCAAACGCATGGCCCAGGCTCGTCCGCTTTTATTTTCCATGAGACAGAAACAATCCAATCTATTGTGAATTTATTCTATGTAGCTGTCGGCCAATGTATGCGAATCAAGAATCAATGTATACCACGTAGAGAAGCGGGTGGATTACCTAAAACACATAAATCAGCTTAATTACGGTCGAAACAACTATGTCTGTAAATAGTGTATTTTAATCATTTCAGAAAGTGGATGGATAGATTCCAACCCATCCATCCATTGACTTCCAATTAGTTAGAGATAGACATTTGTTAAAGCACTTTCTTTTTCGATAGGAAAATGTTACTGCCTAATAATTGTAGCATGAGGCAAGTCGCATTGTGTTGTTGTTTATGACGACAATGGTGGTGGTATGGATCTCCAGTATCCGCTTCTTGTCATTATGACCCTATCTCTGATATACCGTTCTTCTTCCCTTTGACTCAGTCATGAGACGATAGCAATGGCTTACAATATATTCATCCATTGTTGAAGGTCGTGCCTTCGGATCATCAATTTTTTCGCCCCGGCGTAACAGTCTCCAACATCGAACACTTGAGTACACTTCAATCCGTTGTCAACAAAATCAAATAGCATTTCTCCATCCGAGCAAGTCTATCTTTCTCTAGCAATAGTAGACAGCAAGGACAGCAGCGGCCACAATCACCGCAACGTGCGTTGCTTGCCTGTCTGCCTCAAATTAATCAATGTAGCAAAATAGGACCGTCTGTCCTGTTGCTACTCGCCTACTCAGCATTAGCGCCTACACCGCTGCGGCTGCTACAACAAGCAACTTGTCTGTTGGCTATCCATCATTCCATCTTTAATTTTGGCGCCGCTCGGCATTGCATCGCGTGTCATTAATGGCATCAGCATCATCGGTGGCAACAACAAACGAAGCTTCGTTTGATACTCCACTTTTAATGCTGCTTCTGCTGCTGCGGCTGCTGCTAGCAGTGCCGCGGAAACTGTCGGTCAGGGCTGATGCATGGCTTCGGTGTGAGCTCAATGGTGACATAGTGGGGTTTTTCGCGACCGGAAAACGAGCCAATACCAAAGTTGATGTGGCTCAGATCGCTCTAGCTGTGTCATATGTTATTATCGATTCCGCAGACGGTCTTGCTTTTCTTATTTTTCTGTTTCGTCCATTTCTTCTAGCCATTGAAGATTTGACGTGACTAGGATCGCGCGATGATTCATGGCCGCCATCTTAGCATTACTTGCTGTTACGGTGTTTCCGATGGCGAATTATAGTGACGAGTGGTAATGATAATTCTGATGCTAAGGCTCGTATGTGTGATATTCATGCCACTGATGATGTGTTAGCGTGATTTTACGCGCGCAGGATGAAATGCTCCACGTATTAACGGTAACGGCAGAGGACGATCGCCATGTTTCCGCTGCTTCACCCACTCACTATTTTTTTTTTTCTTTACCATTGTCGTATTGCATTGCCTACGTCTTTCATTCTTTTTCCGAACATAGCCACATTAGGGCGATTCGATAGTTAGGCTGACTGAATTAGACATACGAGCATACAACGGAAGGTCAACGAAACATTTTCTTGTCGACTCAGAACGCAAAAAGAAGCCTGTTTGATATTAAAGATAGGGAATATTCAGTCAGTAGGATCACTGATATCGGACCACAGGTGAACTTCATCGCCGTTAGCGGCAGGAGGGTGTTCTGAGTGCATACGATAGAACGCAATCATCGACGATCAGAGAACTGCAGCGGCTGGTACGCTCATTACTGTCGACGCTTGTCTCATAGGGTTATTGGAGGCATCGGATGTCGAAAGCGGCCATCAAATATTGATTTTTAGTTGTTATTGTAAAAGCGCTGTGGAGAACATTTAGGCCCTTTGTTCCCTTTCATCCCACGTTCCAGAGGTCCTAATACCTCTCGTGTGCCCATTCATCTGTGGGCACTGTAACTGTTATTCGTGATAATAACAGTCGATGCTTGTGTACTGCACAAGTAGAGCAAGAAAGTAACAAAGTACGTACATTGGCGTTTTTCTCATCACATGTACAAACACACACAGACAGACAAACAAACAAACAGTAGACAGTGTACATCGAACGATACATTTTGTCGATAGTCACTATTCTAATTTAATAGTAACTAGAATGCTATTAGCATCTAATCATCATCGTAGAACACTTCCTTCGATTTTGTTAATATATTAACTGTGTGGAGAGACTCTCGTAGATATAAAGTAAGGACCAGAAAACAATAAACAAATTAATAAATAAAAAGAACGAAATCAAATGAAAAACATTTGCGCTAAATACTGCATTTTTTTTTTTATGTAAACACATAGTGTATATAATGATTGGACTGGAAAACGTAAATGACAGCCGAATTAATCTATGAGGCAACGATATCAAACGATGATACCGTTTAATTAATTAAAGATAGTATTTAAATTAAAATAATTTACTATTTAAGAATACGTTGCCACTGGCAAGTCCCATTGAGACCAAATTTGGTCGGGTGGTTGATTTGACAGTTATCGAGTAATTGACTATTTAACCAGGCTGTATATTTGTATTTTTTATTCAGCTTTTTATCTTGTTAACGTTGTATAAATAACTTAGTCTCTTCACCAAGAAAAAGCGTCACCTTGCCTACTCATATCTTTAAACTGTCCTTACGCATTTTCAGAGTCGTACAAATCGTAATCCTTGCAAGCAAAATGTACCTGCTGAGGATTGGCAAGCCCGTGTGATCATAGCTATTTACAGATACGTCTTCGTATAATACGAACATAAACAGATGTGCCAGATAGGGATGGCTTACATGGAATAACATATTAGTTAAAAACATATTATTTGACGAGTATGATCCTTAATACTGTTTCGGCACGTACGAACAATGCTCTTTGATACTTTTAGCTCATTTGTGGTTGTCGTTGATGCACTCCGTTAGAATATAAGCTGCTTATTTTATAAGGAATAGCCTGAGCGACTTCCACCTATAGTGCTGTAGCTTCCGTGAATGAAACACCGAATAAGTCAATTTAGTCATGAGTATGAAAATATATTTTTCGACTCTGTTACAGATTACTAGATTTCTATGTTTTTTTTTTTTTTTTTTTTTTTTTTTTTTTTTTATGGATAGTACTTCGTTCACTGGCAGAGTCAGTGATATAGAAGAAGAAGAAGAAGAAGAATAAACTAACCGTAGTTGTTGCTCTTAATAGTCGCCATTTTTAAATCTCCTCATGTGTTGAATAAAGTAGAATGAACGGTCCCTCTCGAGTGGTCTTTGCTATGCGCGCCTGTATCTATCTCGGATGACAAACGACCCTGTGTTCTATTCTATTCGTCGACGATTGGCTGTACTTCCTCTGCTTCTGTCGGTCCTAACAAAGATGCCGCGGCCAATCTAAGCTTCTTGTTTTCCCTGCAACAAAAGGGTCCACTCTCACACTGTTTCGTTCTCCGTGAAGTCGAAGAAACGTACACCGAAGCCCCTCGCGCATTTAACAGGCCTTCCTTGAATTTACCTAAAGCACACACCGTAACCGTTTATTAATTTTCTTTCCGAATGGACTTTACATGAACGGCACCGGGGGAAATAGAGTTCATTGTAGCACATTCAAATTGTTGTTTTTCTTACTACTACTACTACTACTACTATAATGAAATGTTGCGGATTGTCACACGCGCATAGGTAATTAACGCCGGAAGCACACTGGGTAGGAAAGGAAACATTGTTGTTGTTGTTGTTGTGCTGAGCAGTTTATCTTATAAATCGCAGGGCTAGAAATATTAAAGGCTACAACTGAGACGCAAGTCTGAGGCACAGTAAAAGAATTTTAAATGGGGATCCGGATGAAACGTTGGGTCAGTATTACACAAATACACATTTGCGAACCATTAAAACAGGACCACATGCAGTCAGGTGGTTATTTTTTTATCGTAAAACTACTATTTTTTCGAAATAGTCTCTCGTCCAATATCTATTCATCATATTATTACTGTATGTATGAATTCGCTTTAGGGTTTGTTGTTGTTGTTGTTCATTTTATTTTTTATTTACGCGTTCCTGAGGAGAGAACCTGACGAAAAAGCATTACCTTTTTTTTTTTCTTTCCAAATTTTAAGTTAAGAGAGCTTGTTTAAAGTTAAACTTTGTCACTCAATATCTACGCCACATTCTCGGTCGCGTGGTTGCATAGAAGCAAATTTTTGCTAATCTTGCCGTAGTAGAACGATGCTTATATATATGTGTAGTTTTTGAAGTTAATAATAGGTCTAATTCAGTATTAAAGCTATAAAAAATATTCGAACAAGCGGATGGATTTTCAGCCTAAACGGCTGATACAGTATTGATAATATGGATCGTACAGGTATACGCTGGTTTCAGGCGATAGCGGGCGAAAGACTCGTTGGCCGAAACTTTCGACTCTGAGAAAAAAAAATTAATCAAATTTTTACATTCGTCGCCCGGGTAGGTAACGAGAAAGCAGCGTACCAACAGCGGACATTTAGATAGCGCTTGTAAGCAAACTCTTTTTGCGTTCTGGGAAAAGGAACTTCGACAACGCAACCGACGTAAGGGTCAGTGTGGCACAAGCGTAATGGGCTTTAGCGCTAATATACAGCCAGTATATAATGAATGACAAAGGATAAGGGCACTTAACGAGCTAATAAAGATATTGTAGGAGCATGACGACCGAAAAAAGATCATTGAACTACAAAATTTTCTTTTATAGTAAAAATTCGATAAAATTGTACGCATCGACATCAAGAAATAAACACACGGCGCGCAAAGGAAGAATTATATATTCTGCGTCGTGCGGCCATTGTTGAGTTAGCATTGGAAATTCGTTCACCAATATGATTAACTTAAATAGTCACTACTAGGACCATGAGCGAACCTTAGTAAAACCCTGTCTTACATTATGACTTGCTAAACGACAGAGTTCGACTGGAAGAGTTTATACGAGTGTTCGATTCCGATTAAATTAATCAAACGTTGTATGTCTTTTTCATCATATTCGATTTCTGGGACGTACTGTGCTATCGATGGTACGCATAGGGCCTCTAATGGTGTCGCGTTCCCTAATAGCTGGCATGAATAGATTTGAAATACGTTCGACATTTATCGATGTTAAATCGCTATCAGATAACAAGCCAATAGGTATCCATTTCGTTAGAACTACTCATTTTGATCACGAGACTGTCGCCCCACTGCGACCATTGTGTCTTAGATCTTCACTTCCCGTCTCATCATTGTGTCTTCAGATCCCGCTTAAACGCCCACATCAATTACCTGTAACATTGAATCGCTAGGTAAATGTCCGACTTCGAGATATAGAAATCTACTGAAATACGGTAAAGATTAGAACTACTGGGGTTGATTGCATTTCTAGAATATAATAGAAACATAACTTGCTAGTAAATATACAGATAGGTCGTTGCTGTTGTTACTGCTGTTGCAAACTAGATAAGTGATATATAAAGTCAATTTCTCCTTCAGTTCAGAATGTATTGAAATTTAATTATTGATTTCCTTTCGCGAGTAATACATTTGCTATACGATTCCATGTCTACCTTCTTTCGTCTGGCGACCATTTACGGCCAGCAGCTGTTCAGGGAAAAATGTTTACCGGCAGATCTAAAATAACCGATAAAAATGCACCACCAATTATGTACGATACACGTATATAGTAAACAAGTCTTTTTTTTTTTTTTTTTTTTTTTTTTCGAACGAGCAATGGCCGCCGAGGTAACACTGTTTTTTGCCTGCGGTTGCAATTGCAGATTGTTAACCTGAGAAAAATGAAAAGATAGCGCACGATGCTGCTCGACACTTTAAGTTTAATAACAATAATAAGGTGTATAGAAAAATGAATACCCAACGCAACAGGTAGTCGTCGTTTAACGGTCGTTTTGGGCTTCGCCATTTCCTCTCCGGCATTCATTTTCATGCAGGCACAAGTTTGCACACGGATTATTCTTTCCTTGACGATGATATTGACCACTTCAGGAAAAAATCGTTGCCAGATGACCATACTACGAGTGCGGCTGTACATACTGCAATATATATATATATATATATGCTTTCTCATATTTGTGCTGTATATAATGCTTTAGATATAGCCAATTAATGATTGTCGCTTGTGGCTCAATGCTGAAAGCACATGTTATCGATTACTGGATTCGGCGGCACCTAAACGGTTTATGATTGGCAACTTTATAAGCTCGAATCATGTCCAATCCAAATATTGTTGGTTCTTATTCCGATTATTTCCGAAAACAGTGAGAATAATACTTGGTATCCATTGCATTTCGAAATTATGCTGAGTAGGCATAATAAGGAAGTACGAGATCTGTATCAAATAATATTCATCGGTATCGTATCAGTCAAAGAAGTATCCGATCATGCCTGTACACATCGCGCTAATGAGCTAGATTGGCAACGCTTAATCTATATTCTTTAACGGGGATCTGTCACGTCGGTTTATGCGTCACTAAAATCAGATCAAATCTATTGGATTAATCGCTCGCAATTCGCGTCGAGCACGACAAGCGCGCGTTCAAACGTATTGCGTGCTTCCTATATATATGTCTATAGCATTACACTGAGCACTTCTTAAAAATGAGAGCCTTCGTCATAGTCTAAACGATGCGAGTCGTTCACGACGATGCGATACAATCAATGCTGCTCGCTTCGCTTGTCGGTAATGGCTTATGACCTTCTCATAACAATGACAATGACGATCGAAACCTAAAGCAGGATGAACCAACCGATATCAAGGTATGACGATACGGGACAAACTATCAAAAAGGTCCTTCTTCTAGATTCTGGTTGTTACAGTCTTCGTAATTGTAACGTACACTATTTTGTATCGTTCTTTTGCCACCGGTACAACGACGACCTCGTTGTTACTTCTTTTACATAGTGATGTCGTAGTTGGTCAGCTTGCTTCTAGCGTTGCTAGGATTTCTGCCCGTGTACCCACTGTTATAGTCCTATGTGCGTACGCACGTATGCGTACATTTGCTCTCCGTGCCCGCAGATGAATTCCGCCATGGCAGTTAATATCTACGTGATGAAATCTGTCTCGGTAACTTGCCGACCGACAGATTAAGCATTAAGAAGAGTGACTAGCTCGCAAGCCCTTGGGCTAATCTTTTCCTTTCCGCAGCTGTCAGATAACTTCTTCTTCTATCTTTGCGTATTCTGTTTCGTTATATGTTGAAATGGTTTTTTCAGCACGGCTATACACTCTACACTCTTCCACAGAAGCCTTTTGCTCTTGTAACTTTGGTGGCACCACGAGGCGGGCACGTGCAGGAAGATGCTCTTTGATACGAACAATTGGTTGCTTTGTGGCAGGGTCCTATCGTATCACTGCGAGTATAACGCCTCCTTGAGCTTGATGATACATGCACTTACTGGCTATTGTTGCACGGAGAAATATCATGCATGTTAAGGTTAGGCGCAGACGAGGCTGCGGCAACTACACGCAAACGAGTGCGATGCATCGCTGCTCTGTCAGAAAAGACGCATAGCACTAATGTCAGCCGTTTACGTTTTTAACGACACGACGATTCTTCTATTGCCCCTGCAGCCCTGACTTACTTCTTCTGCAAAGTCGGTGCAATCCCATTTCAGATGTGTCGTATCATAATTGTAGTAAATTCCGCGGTCTCAAGTGCAAGTTTTTTTCCTCAATATTCGTTCAACGATTTCCTCGCCCCTCCGGCAATGCTTTTCGTACAGGAGATCAAGCCTCTACCGCCACTAACGGTTAAAAAGGTGCGCCTGCTGAATACCGGCCGCTACACCACATCACAGAACTGGACTGCATACCAGTTATAGAACTATGGGACACATGACATTACTTGGGCGGTAGTGATACTGTTTCGCGTACGTTTCGAAGTAAGCCGAAGGCTTCACCAAGGGCAATTGGCAATAGAAAAGGTTATTACTCTATAATAATAATAATAACAGCAGTCTGGCACACACACGCAGTTGCTCATTTGTGCACTGATTGGACTCACAGGCAAGCACAGGGAACGCGTGAACGGTTGATTCCATTCCATATCATCGACGTCTTCGTCGTCGCCGTCGCTGACGTTGGCTGTTATAAAGAACCTTACTTGGCTTCCTGTCGCTGCTCATGGTACTAATAGGACAGAGCACGTCGTCATTCGAAGCAAATACCCATCCGGATGCTTCCCAGCGTTTTCTGTACCAGCTAGCCAGCCTCACAAACAGCGTCTATTGCCCAACTTATATGACAATGCTTTCCAAATGCTGCTAAGTACAACTGCAACGTACGCATTTCACTGCTGCCGCAGCCTTCTACTGTTTACCTCTAGCCATTGTGCCCAGTGATGATTATCCTGGTATTATTCTTCACGTGGAAAACATCTGTTCGGGTTTGCCGTCGAAACCTCAGACCGTGTGAGGGCCTGTGGGACGTGCTCCGAACGAGATGCTACAGTAAGCATATCGTTTCGTTTTACTTTGTGTAAGCAATTACTTATACATTTATGATAGCTGTAGTGTTTTACACCAGTTGCGCTAAGCAGCAGTAGATGTATGAACACGTTTGTCTCGTACCCTCTACTTCTCGTTTACGGCACATAGTAAACCTATGTAATTTGGATTTAGAAGCTCTTGGCTGTGGCCGTTGTCGTACGTATACATACATATAACTTGGAAAGATCAAGCGATAAAATTAGCTTTCGACGAATTCTCCGTCTTGTTGTATCGAACATGAGCCGAGGGTGTTCGTCCGCTATAAATACGAATAGCTATAAATTGAGGCGGTGAATAACTAGCTCCCCCCGTTGTTTAATGCTAAAATACTTTAACGCAAACCTGTGGGGCGTCTTTCGCATCTGTCCACAGGCCTAGTCTCCCTGAAGGCACACAGAGGAAACTCAAATAATCACGGTACAGCCTTGACGGAGTCAGGTCTTGTCTGCGCATTAGCATAAAAGATGCCCCAACAGACGTCTTGATAGTCGCAGCTATCTCTGGGATACTAGGAGGAGGCTTGCAGATAGTCTCATTATACATCAGAATGTAGTGGTTGTTTCTGTTAAAGAAGTGAGATCGGTAGAATGCAGATGGTTAGCCTCTAATAACTATTCAGATCGTATCTATGTTACACATGTTTGCGTATAAACATACTGGTCTGTTCGGGCCGTCGAAAACCCCCGTGTTCCTCCACAGTAACGTGGTTGTCTGTGCCTTTCTCGCTGTTCAAACGTTCTTCTAACAGCAGCAGTAACACACAGTAGTAGTGAAATAAAAGGTATTGATTTGACAATTTGGCATTGAAGATTGAGCGGCATCTTAGCGGGCATCTTTCTGTTGAGACCGATCGCAAATCCTGCAATGACAAATGCTTGTTCGAGTATTCGAATTGGTGTTATTCCCTAGAACGGGCGGCAGTAGCCAATCGAAGTGGGCCAATCGAATAGAAAAACTGTGATAATTTCGACTTTTCATCCCGCCCTATCCCAAACTGATAATTGTTCTTGATCGGTACTGATATGGCAAAAACCTATTACTAGTAGTAGTTATTACTTTTCCAGTAGGCTATACTTTTATGTCTTTGTTAAGAATTTATCGTTGCAAGGCTTGCTTTTATGTTTAATTTAAGGCAATGTGAGCCTTGGATGCTTGAAGGCCGCTATCGTTCAAGCAAACCGTATATTCAAATTGAGAGAAGTTAACTCATATTCGTTGTTGTATGACCGTGTCCATTGCCGCTATTGCAGCAGCATCACTGACATTAGCCCAACGAAAGTTCAGCCGCGGATAGTGTTAAAAGAAACGCGCAGAATTAATTGGTTTTATGTCAATAAGAACGAAATTGACACTTCAGACCTGCGCATCTATTCTTTTCCAGCAGGAGTGGTAATTTTGCTGATTTGTAGCTCTGTGACTAGGACCATGTTCCTGCGGCCAAACCGGCGTAGCGATCGAATGAATTCTACGAATTACGCGTCAGACGGACGCCAGAAGAGGTCATTGGGCCTCGAGAACGCGAAACGTACCGGCGACACGAACGAAAATCACGACATTTTAGAATAGCCAAAGAAGGGCATGTAAACAACCTAGGGAGTTTCGGAATAACCGTCTAAGTCTTAATCAGAATTACGCAGCTAGGATAGAGCAGGCAAGACAGTTAAAATGCATGGAGGAAATCGAGGAGCGGAGTTCATGTCCAGCTTCGTAGCTCCAGAAAGAAGATGACCAAAATTACATCAGTTGGAAAATACCGCCAACTGCAATAACAACAACTACGCTGCTTCATTAATAAGATGAAGTTAAAAAGAAGTCGAAAACAAGCAGCGCTATCAGCTTTTTGGTCGTACCATGTTGCTTGCATGTCGAATTTGCATACACTGATTTGGTCAGCAATAGCAGCAGCAGCAGCGATGAGTTGATCAAGATTCAGAGAAGATTAATTCTTAATTCTAATTTCCAAAGCAGGAGATTTCGATAGGCCATTAGTTACACATATATCTTAGGCTGCAGTCTGTGAACGCTCGGAGATATTCCTATTACATGGATGACTGAACACATTTTGCCTAGGAAATCACTGCATCCATTTCAGTATGGGGAAATTTGTGCGTCCTAGTACTTTCGAACGATACCTTTAATGATAGCGTATCGAGCATTTATGGTTACAGCATTGTTTCTAGCGCGTGCGTTTACGTCCCTCAACGAGCCTACTAACGGTGACGTTGATGCACTTAATTGAATCAGTCGATAATTAGGAAGAGTTACCTCTTGCATTGGCTTGATTTCCCGTCTGCACTAGAGACGGTTGTTGAACTCTACAGTCGGATGCGGGACACTAGTAAAAAATTGGCAAAAAAAATAGCAATAATAAGTGATTATTCAATTGGAATTTGGGGAAATCTGCCTGAGTGAGGGTTTAGTTTTTGATACTAATGAACTTAGCATCGGTCAAGGGCAACTGGATCCACCTATGTCATATTCTTGACGTGCACCGATAGCCGGCGATTTCCAGCCCAGTTTTCAAGTTGTCTGTCGTTGCCCTTGACTTACAATTATCGTTGAGACATCTATCAAACAGCTTATTCGAGTTTGAAAAAACAGAGACAAAAAAAAGATAGCTCGTGTAATTACTACTATTATATCATATAAAATGATATTTATCGAGCCGATGTTCTCTCCTATTTTGAAATGAATTAGTATCTGTTCTCATTTATTTCAATGAATAATACCGTATAGACGCTATAGCAATATGCAATAATGCTTCGATCACTAACACTGCAATTCAGCGTTCATCGTTCACTAGTAACGGCACTTTATCCGAGCCGGCGTTCGTCCATTAGCCATAGCCCAATTAATCAGGAACTCAACAGTTGGGGGGCAAGGCCACACCTACCCGCAAGCGATTTCGACTGTCGCCGGCCGTCTTAAACAAAGGCGCGAAGATGATAGTTTTTGTGCTATCTCTAGATACAGTTTCCCACGAAGTTTCGAATAAAAGAGACATTGAAAAGAAAAAAAACGCAATCCCTAATCATTCATATGGTTTTTTTTTGCGATAAAGATTAGCTCGTATATAATGTACGTATGCGGCGTAGAAAATGATGGTTGTAGTAATGATGACGACGATGTCTATTACATACGATGTGAGCAATATCTGCAGAAGCGGCTGGTTCTAGTATACAAGGCAGGATGAACACGTCTAACAATTAGATAGAATTAATCAGTGTATTAATCAAGATTTACGAGGGCGTGACGGCATCTCATTATACGGTCTTTGTTCTTCCTTTCAGGTAAATATATGATTGTTGTTATTTAAATCTTTTTCGACCGAGATAAGACTCGCGAAACGATCGCCGGAAAACAGCGTTTTTGTATTAAATGACAAGCCCATACATTTGGGCGACGACAAAAGTACGGTTGCCATGACGATGCACTGATACATTCAACCTAACAACATAAGAAGAGTCAATAGTTCGAGCCAGTTCGAGGTTTTTTACTAGTGACAGTGCTAGATACACACAAATTGCCAAATATGCCTCGCTCATTTCCCCACTACCCTTTTTTGAGCAACGGACACAAGTTTTAGACATGCGGTAGTTGCAATAGTTGTTGAAGAAGTAGAAATAACGATAATAATAATAATAGTAGAATTACATAGCAGTTTTATGGCTGGTAGATTGGACAGCGCGAGGGAACAACGGCATGTGAAACATGACGTCGTTCTGTGCCTTTTCGGTGCTGCGTTCGCCGTTCGGAGCTCGCATTTCCTCTCTACAGAAATCGAAAAAGAAGGCAGAAGGAAACCATGAGGAGATCTATGGGGAAAAACGTTAGTGCCTCTGTGTTTGACTGGTGCTGTATTTTTGCGGCACGGCAAGACGTGGTTTGTCTTCGAATAGTAGACGCTGGCTGGTCGACTAGTGGCGTTCTGCGTCGTTACCCGCCGTCAACCACTTCCTGGAGGCCCCGACAAAGTTACATTTAGGTGATACACAGGAAAGAAGAAGATGCCTGTTACGATGGTACTATTCGTCGCTCTGTCCGACTCCGTGATCTGAAGAGATAGTAGATGCTTGGAGCGCTATAGACATAGGTTCACATCAAACGTTTACACGCGCACGTAAGAATTACGAAGTAGCCAGATTGCCATGCCTAGTGTTGCCCGATTCCCCACTCGACCGCTTAGCAACAAATAATAATCGACTGATTTGTTTAGTGAGTGGCGTAGGCATCGTCCGCTAGAGGGCGCATCAACTACGATGCTTTGATGTCAGTTCTCTAAACGATTCGCGTCCACATTAATGTATGCTAATGGATGTTAAAGAAGAGCTGCACTGAGATCTAAGTAGAATATAACATTGATTTTAGCGTACAGATTCTCTGCGTCAACAAAATAAATGTACAAACAAGAATTCAATTGTGTGTGCGTAGTCCTTCCGCTTGTGGCTT